CCCCAAAACCCCAAAACCCCAAAACCCCAAAACCCCAAAACCCCATGGCTTATTTATAATATTGAATTTTATACTTGTCAATGAAGGAGGTTAAAATTTATTTAGCTACTCCATAGCAAGTGTTTCATATCCCCTATCTGCAATGGTCGGGTTAGAATTATAGTCTTTGAACGGTGAGGTATTGACCCTTGCACCTCCTTGGCTCTTTTTGATAATTTCAATAGCTTTGCCAGCAGATTTGAGTTCGTTAATTGCACCTAATATATCCCTCACATCATTCATAACTTTCTTGGACTTTTTCTTGGTCTGTAGGATATTGTCCCTAAAAGTAAGAACTAGGCTTACTTGGCGATTATGACCTTGGTTTTACATTGAGACTGCTCTTCCTTTGTAAAGTTAATGTCGGCAACAGAGGGTGTATTCCTTCACATAATATCTTCGTTCTTATTAAAAGTCATCTCAATATTCCTAAAATTCTTATCATTTGTAAAGAAAGCATTGTTCATTGGCTTCTTGGCTCTCTTGCGTTTAGAAGCAGTGGACATCTGTTTAGGATGTTTCACTTGAAAAACTTTATCTTGGAAAGGGTCCCTTTTACGCTTCTTTTTGGGATAGGAATTTCCAATGTTCTTCACTGGCTCCGGCTCGTCATCAACACCATTCTTCCAGTTGTCCATATTCGGAAGTGTAGGAGTGAGGTTATAACCTCCCCCAGATTTGAAGGGATTCTGGTCTCTAGTGCCAGTAAACATTCTCTCCCCATTTGTATTACTTGATGTCTGTGTCCTTTCGATAGAGTTTAGAGGCCCAAATGTTGTGTAGAAAGGATTTTTAGAACTATTACTATCTCCAGCCGTTTTAACCTTCTTTCGGATGGTAATAGTAGTTGGCTCTGGAGAAAGATCTTCAGAACTAGACACATCCTTTATAATACCTTGACTATGATTAAACTTAGCCTTATAATGATTCAGGTCTTGGATGTAGTTATTCGTCTTAGATCTTTTCATCTGGGAAAAATTTTGCCCCAAAAACGGTCCTTTGCTAGTTCCATGAGACAGTTTTGATCGGAGATATGCCTCATCGCCGCTCCTACGAGAGGTTACTCCATGACTTACATGTGTGTATAAGAGTCATAAGATATGGAATTACTCTTTTTATGGATCCTCCTCACTGCATCATAAGTATGGTGGTCTGAATAAGAAGATCCTCCTATAAATATTAACTTCAGCTGTAAAAATAAAAAAATCGATAAGAATCTTCAGTTACTGCAAAGAGGTTTAAACGTACTTTTGTGCATGGTATTTTGATTTGGACGCCTGGAATTAGAATAAGCCTTCCCTACTCTTTGGTTCCGATGGCTTGCAGTACTGGTCGATTGGTTAGTCAGATACCCCTACAGAGTTGGAAAAGAACTTACCTCATAGTCTGTATCAAAAGAATATTTTCCTTTAAAATTTACTTGATAACTTACCTTTCCTAACGCCTTTGTGATCGATGTTGTAGAATGTAGACTGGGTGTTTTCGAACTTTTTAGGAGGCTACAAGAAGTCAAAGGCCTTAAATTATACCATCTCCTGATTCAGATCATTCCTTATATATTTTTGCGGCTCGCTCAGCCTTGTATAGTCTTTCTTCTCCTTATCAGAGGTAATATCTTGAAGCTTAAATAGCTTCTCCTTGCTCTTGTAATTCCACTGTGACAAGTCCTTCTGTATCTGTGCGTTTGACTTAAAATGCTTGACTTTTGTTGCAAAGATTCTTTCCCTACGATTTTTCCCTTGCTTTGGGATAACTTCAGCATACTCTGCCATTTGCTTATCTATATTTCAATCAGCCTTAATTTACTTTTACGCTTGATGAAGTAGCTCAGATTGGCTAATGGCTATAAAGAATGAGTGTGAAAATCCTTACAACTCCAGCAAGGGGGTTCTTCCTTGATCAGTTCATTCTTTTCTTGCTCTTCATCTTCTTAGCACCAACCTTTATCTATCAAATGTTATAAACATTATGTGAATTCTTAAGAATTTTTAAGCATTTTGGATATTTTAGCTTCAAATTTTTAATTTTCTGGCAGCAGAACGTATGATCTGAGGAAGTTAAACAAAAATGCTTAAATTCATAGCCAGTCAGGTAGTTCTCAACCAGGGTCTACCTTTGACTCCTAATATTTCCTGATATCTCGGTATTTTGGCAAAGAAGTTATTTAGATTACGAATCAAAATTATTCGAAAACTGAAGGTATTATATTTAACCTCAGAGAAGCAGAAAGTCCGACTGAGACTATCCAAGGCTCTTACCTGGGATGGATTCTGTCCTTCAAAGTAATGATCCATGTTTCTTTAAGTTTATCAATAAAATTTTATAGATAAGGGGTTTTGGGGTTTTGGGGTTTTGGGGTTTTGGGGTTTTGGGGTTTTGGGG